CCAGAGACGCACACAGAGGCGCGCAGGGACCCCTCAGAGGCGCGCAGGGACCCCTCAGAGGCGCGCAGGGACCCCTCAGAGGCGCGCAGGGACCCCCCAGAGGCGCGCAGGGACCCCCCAGAGGCGCGCAGGGACCCCCCAGAGGCGCGCAGGGACCCCCCAGAGGCGCGCAGGGAGCCCTCAATCTCTTTTTCTGCAGCTCCTGTTGTCAATGAACAGGAATCCTCTATACTGAGTGTTCCTGATCATTCATAACATGAGGACAGAGTATGTTTACTATAACTACAATTATGAATGAACAGGAAGTGATGTAGATGTGATGTAGATCACTTCCTGTTCATTCATAATTGAGGATATACTAACCATACTCTGTCCTCAATTATCTACAAACACTCGGCGATCACCGACTGCTTGTATCCGCTCTCCATCCTGACAGCTGTCACAAAAGGCTGAGCGGTGCGGGGAGGAGAGCTCGATCTGACAGCTGACTCCTCCCCCGCACCACCGGCCGGCCTCCTGTGACAGCACTGGCTGTCTCCTGCCCACACCGCTGCTCTCCTGATCTGTGATAGGAGTCTGAGCGGTGTGGGGAGGAGAGACGCCGACCGCTCACATCGCTCTCCTGCAGCGCTCGGCCTCCTGTGACAGTTTCTCTCCTCCCCGCTGGGACAAAGAGCAGCGCCCAGTGTCATTTTCGGCCGATATATCGGTGCATCCCTAGTTTGGAGAAGGGAACAATTTAGGCCAAAATAGCCGATTTGGAAACAGTCTTCAATTCGGCTCACTTTCCAGTTCAGCTATGTCCTACATTTTTCCCTCCTCCCGCCTTCTCCCTTTTGGGAACGACCCTTTAGGATTGTATGTACATGAAGCTCCAGGGACACAGTGGAAATACATGTGTTCTTTTCTTCTCTTCTGGACCCCCCGACCCCCCCAGCCAACTCCTGCATTGCAGGCTCCCCCTCACTACGCCATCGCCTCCTGCCCAGTCTGATCATAGTAACCCATCTAGATACTCCTGATGAGGGAGCGCACCTTTAGAGGACATCAACCCTCTACCAACCACATGTCTGACATTTGCACTTAAGATTGTTTCTTATTCTCCGTGGCCATAGGAGATAAAGAAACGTATCTCAAAGGTAAATATTCCCTGGTGATCCTAACGATTTCTGAAGATAATAGGTTTACTAGTATAATAGGGACAACAAGCAAAACAGGCTAGTATACCTACAATGGCAACGAGTTACATACAAATCTGCACCCAGTTTAACCATACACCGTGCAATCTCAGGAATAAAATAGAGAAGGATATGAAACATTATCGCAAGAATTCACCCTGCGCGCTGTTAATTAGAATTGCAAAAAGAAAACTAATAATAAAATGTAATCGCTATGATTTCAGAGTAAAGAAAGTTAATTCTTCATATATGATCAATATCTCACCAATCCTTCAAAAGAAAAATGTTCATCTCCCCCAGCCACTATTTGCTTTCTTCCAATTGATCGGTTCAGAAATGGTAGTTGATTGGTATGATTCACTCATATCGTTTGCACTCAGTTGAGTAAGCCTCGGATGTGTATGACGACTTACTCAACCTCAGACAATAATCATCGGTGATATCAATCTTGAAACAATCGGGCGAATTAGCCGTCTTGGAGTTTTTATGTTTCTTGGTTGGTTTTTCATATGGGGCAAAGATATCCTTAATCCGGGTCTTTCTTGTTTCATTTCTTTTATTTACTGACCTTGAAGTCTTAAAGGTCTTTCAGCATTGTCAATTGTGATTCCAGGGTTACTCAAATCTTAGACTTCATTTGCAATGTTTATCTCTTTGAATTTAGTTGGTTAGTACAATAGCTGGTTCCTCAAGGGTCCCCCTGTATTGTTTGTTCATTGCTTAGTTTTGTACACAATGGGCTGTTTTGGTTGATTAATTTACCTGTCCAGCACAGACTTCTGGACCCTTGCACAGAAAAGTTTGATTTCGTTTCTGTACAAGTCATAGTTCATCAGTTTTTGTAATTTTATATAGAAATACCCTGACACACCAAGCATTTAGTCATTGCTTACTCCTCTGTAGCCATTGCACTCTCTATTGGACATATTTTGCACATGATAAATATTGTATTAAAGGAGAACTATGGGGTCAGGGCTTTTCCCCATCGTTCTCCTTAGGGTAACGGGAGGACACAAACTAGCGTCCTCCCGTCACCCTAGGCTCAGTATATAGGGAGCTACAGCTCGCGGTATACTGAGATTGCTATTCTTATCTACGCCGCCCAGCTGGGCACTCCCTGTATTTCCAAAACTTCAATAGAAGACGTGTAAAAGAAATACATACGTGTCGGGGGTGGGATTTAAAAAAAAATAAACAACCTACTTGTGCGAGGGCTAAATCCGGGGCCCAGTCGAGGACAAGCAGGCTGCTACAAGTGATCTCAGCGGCTCCACTACCGAGCAGCGGCTCCCCCGCTCTACATTTAGCCCTGCTTGCCTGCCCTCGTTGTAGCTATAACAGCCTCCACTCTTCTGAGAAGGATTTCCACAAGATTTTGGAGTGTGACTGGGTAATCTTCCCATTTAGCCATAACAACATTTATGTGGTTAGATATTGATGTTGGAGGGGAAGACCTGGCTCATAATCAGCATTCCAGTTCAAAGTTGGGTTGAGGTCAGGGGTTCTGGGCAGGCCGCTTGAGTTCCTCCCCACCAAAGTCCTGAAACCATGTCTTTATGGAGCTGGTTTGGTATACAGGGGCACAGTCGTGCTGGACCAGAGGAAAGCCTTCTCTAAACTGTTGTTACAAAGTTGGAAGCGGGCATTATTTTAAAATGGCTTTGTACGCTGTACCATTAACGTGGCATTAAAGCCTAAATCCCCCCCCCCCCATCCTGGTGTAAGGACTTACCTTAAATGATGCCTTTTGATCCAATCATCATCTTCTTTCCAGTAGTTTTCAGGAGTTCCTCCAGCGCTGGTGCCGGTCTCTGATCCAGCTCTGACTCCTGCCACTTCCTGTCCCATGTAGTCTGTGCGGGTGCACGCTGCCTCCATTGACTTACCTTGTGTCTCTCCTCGTCTCCCAGACGAAGATCTGTACTGGGCATGCGCCCAACCCATGATCCTTTGTGGCCGCCCGAGGACGAAGATGTGTACTGGGCATGCGCCCAACCCATGATCCTTTGTGGCCGCCCCTGGACGTAGATCTGTACTGCACATGCGCCCGACCCATGATCTTTTGTGGCCGCCCGAGAATCTACAGATCTTCGGAGGGGAGCGCGCGGGGAGACAGGTTAGTTTAAACCCCTTTTTTGTTAACTTTTTTATTTTATTTATGTTTTTGCATATATCTACTGCTTGCTGGCCGCAGATATATGCAAAAAACACGGGAAGCTTTAAAGGAGAACTTTGAGGGGGCGGGGAGGGGGGTGCTTTTCACTCACCCTCATAGTTCTAGCCGACCTGTGACAATGAGACTGTCACAGGTCGGCTCAGTAGATGGGGAGGTGAGCGAACACATACCGGCGTTCGCTCACCTCTCGATCCTGTCACGGCTCTCTGCCATGACAGGGGAGGGGATGGATTCCCCCCCTCCCCGCTCCGATCCTCCAGCGCTGACTGGTGGATCGGACGGGGGAGGGGGCGGGGACAGCTGGCTCTGCCTCTAGATAGGCAGAGCCAGCTGTCAGTCACGCAGCTGGGCGGATACAGACATCGATGTCGGGATCCGTCCGGCTGCGGCGTCTCAGTATACCGCGGGCTGTAGCTCCCTATATACTGAGCCTAGGGTGACGGGAGGACTCTAGTTTGTGTCCTCCCGTTACCCTAAGGAGAACTATGGGGGAGAAGCCCTAACCTCATAGTTCTCCTTTTAATGATTCTTTAACAGTACCATTCACCGGAAACACCTGAACTCAATATTTGGAGGGGCGTCCCCCTTCTTCTGGCCATATTGCACATTTTTCGACCCAATCTCCCTTTTTACAGCAAATACACGCTTGACTGGCTCCCCCCACTTTTTTTCCATGTCACTGAAATGTAATGTTTCCATTTGAAGATCGATCATATTTAATCTGACATTTGGTTTCAATTTTTTAGGAAGCCTTTGCAGAGAACCCGGGACGTCATTGGTTGAACCAGTTCCTCTGTGACCCAGCCGTGGCTAAATCAAGTGATGGCGGTCCACCAGAAGGAGGCCTTTTCTTGGATACCTTCCGTTACTTCCACTCCACTCAGAGAAATGCCTTCACTTGCTGGCACTCTGCCTCAGGGGCCCGACAGACCAACTACGGCACCCGCATTGACTACATTCTGGGTAACGGAAGCCTGGTTGAGACGGAATTCGCGGATTGCGTTATTATGCCGGAGGTGGAAGGATCTGACCATTGTCCGGTGAAGGGATTTCTGAAATGTAGGCCGCTTGCAGCAGATAGATGTCCTCCTCTCTGTACTAAATACCTCCCGGAGTTCGCAGGGCGGCAGCAGAAGCTGTCTCAGTTTTTCGTGATTAGGAACAAAGACCTTTCAGACTCCGGTGCGGAAACGAAGGACCCGTCGGGGTCTCAGTCTTCCACGGAAGGATCTGATCCAGTTTCCGCCCGGAAGAGGACACAAGGAAAAGTGAACGGGACTGTTGGAAAGAAGAACAAGGCGGACAGCAAGGGCGGGCAAGGCAGCCTGCTTGGGTTTTTTAGGCCGGCGGCACAGAAGGGAACTGCTTCACAGTCGCAAACTAACACCGATAAAGTGGAACCCGGAAAAGAGCTTCCCCGAGGTACAGAAGACGTTCCATTTGCGCCTCAGAACGTTAACCAACAACAAGCAACCTTTTGGAAGTCTTTGCTTAAAGGACCACCACCTCCACCCAACTGTAAAGGCCACGGGGAGCCCTGCGTCTCGCGGACGGTGAAGAAGGCCGGTCCTAACTGCGGACGCCAGTTCTACGTGTGCGCACGTCCCGTAGGGCATTCGTCCAACCCGCAGGCCCGGTGCAACTTTTTCCTTTGGGTCAACAAGAAGAATGGCGCGGATGGATGACAAAGGAGTATAGGTGCGGTTTTACTTCATTATGGCACAAAATGGTGCCGTTTGCCCCTGTGTGCTATGGGCCTAATCAGGGGTTGGCCTTCTTGTTTATGAGTTCCCTTCCTGAGGATAGACTTTAACTGGGACCTGGTGTGACTCCAGATTAGGAACTTTATCCTACTTCAAACATTGTTCCTGCTCCTGGATCTAGAATGATGTCTTATGTAGACCTCACATAGTGGCAGGTGGGACATTTGTCAAGCAGAACTTAGTGCCTGTTGCAACCACTTGTGCGCACGTCCTGAGGGGCGTCCGTCCAACCCACAGGCCCGGTGCAACTTTTTCCTTCGGGTCGACAAGAAGAATGGATGACTAAGACAGCACTTACTATCCTTTTTATTATAGTACAACATGGTGCTGTTTGCCCAGTGTGCTATGGGCCCAATCAGGGGTTGGCCTTCGTGTTTATGGCAGAGGTCCCTTCCTGAGAATAGACTTTACCTGGAACCTGTGACCTGGTGTGACTCCAGATTTGGAACGTCAAGCTTTGTTTCTGCTTCTGAATCTAGAGCAGGGGTAGCAAACCTCCGGCCCTCCAGCTGCGGTGGAACTACGAATCCCATGAGGCATTGCAAGATTCTCACAGCCACAGACATGACTCCCGACGAGAGATGCATCATGGGATTTGTAGTTTCACCCACAGCTGGAGGGGCCGGAGGTTTGCTACCCCTGATCTAGAATGGTTATCTAATGTAGGTCTCGAACAGTGACAGTTGGGACGTCCGTCAAACAGAACTTGGTGTCTGTTGCAACCACTTGGGGTATTCCCAATCCAGTTTCAAGGACCTGAAGCGAGCACTAGAGGGAGCTGAGTCATTTTAGCCAGCACGGTGGATGGGTCTGCTTTTCATTGGCTCCTGAACTATTTTGGAGAATGCAACATACAGGGATGGCCAGACTGCGGCCCTCCAGCTGTGGGGTGAAACTACAAATCCCATGAAGCGTATCTCTCCGGGAGTCGTGGCTGTGAGAGTCTTGCAAAGCCTCATGGGATTCGTAGTTCCACCCACAGCTGGAGGGCCGGAGTTTGGCCATCCCTGTACTAAGTGCTTGACGCATGTCTCAGAAGGCATGTTGTCTGGATGGGAATGAAGGAGAATCGGGTGCGGGGTCTTTGGAAAGAGGAAAGTCTCTGCGGATGCAGCAAGTTTGACCAGCGTTGAAGGTTTATTGCACATAAAAGACCAGAGTGCGGGAAATGCTCTTCATGAGGATTCCTCAATGATGGTTTTATAGGAATCGTCTGCTTGGAGGAATTCAATGGCTGCCTTTCCTGAGCTCCTACTCAAAATAGCAATTGCCTGGCTGTCACTCAGCTCAACGCATCTCAATTAATTGGCAGAATGATTATTTGATGAACCGGTGACCTGGGTACTCGCTCAGGCTACTGACCTAAGAAGGTGCTGAAGCCAATGGAGCATCATGACAGCCAGACGGCTAGTATTGTGAGGAGGAGAGGTCGGCAATGTTACTCTCACAGTTTTTATGTGAAGCACTTTCCGTACCCCGTGTCCGCTGTAGTGCCCCCGCTGTACAGACTGCCGATTTTGAATGATAGAAATCACAATTTGTGTACTTTGCAAATAATAAACCTAATAAAGTCGTAACTCCTCTCTGGGTGCTCGGTGTACTCTGCAAGGACTCGTAACAAACTTTGGTGCAGCTTGTGTATGGTTCCTTGAAGGGGAGGGGGGGAGTGTATGGTTCCTTAGGTTTTCTTAGAGCTGACCAAGCTCGCTGCCGGGATGGACTACAATCTCAATGCAAATTAGTAAGCGAAAAGTGAGATTGTAGTCCATCCCGTGGGCGGAGCGGTGACTACTTTACAACACACACAGGGACCATGAGTAACAGACGTAGCCCCCCCCTCCGGAAGGAAGGACGGACGGTCTCCAAAAATCAGCACACCCCAAATGTTTGCACATCTTTTTTATTGTCAGTTTATTTGGAGGTGAACGTCTCATGCACACCCTCACCCTGCACGCGGCTGAACAATGGTTATATTTCGGGGGCTTTAGAGTGCGTTGTACTTAGCAGGGTTAGTGGTGGATGCTCGTCGGTCATATGTTATATTAGACATACGTGTGAATGCAGTAAAGTGAACCTGTCCTTCGCCCCACACTGGACCAATACAGCTTGCAGAGGAACATTAAAGGAGAACTATGGGGTGAGGGCTTTCCCCCCATAGTTCTCCTCAGGGTAACGGGAAGACACAAACTAGCCTCCTCCCGTCACCCTAAGCTCAGTATATAGGGAGCTACAGCTCGCGGTATACTGAGACGCCGCAGCCGGGACGGATCCCGACATTACTGGCGAGATCCGCCCAGCTGCGTGAGTGTGACAGCTGGCTCCTCCTATCTAGAGGCTGTACCCGCCCCCTCCCCCGTCCGTTCCGCCAGTCAGCGCTGGAGGATCAGACAGGGGAGGGGGGAATCCCTGCAGGGAGCTGTGAGCGACAGTCACCACTCTCTGCAGGGACAGGATCGAGAGGTGAGCGAGCGCCGGTATGCGTTCTCTCCCTTCCCGATCTACTGAGACGACCTGTGACAGTCTCATTGTCACAGGTCGGCTCCAACTATGAGGGTGAGGAAATCACACCCCTCAGGCTGGGTTCACACCTAGGCGTATTGAATATGCGCGTTTGTCGCGCTGTAGAAAAACCGTGCGACAAACGCGCGTTTTTTCCCGAGGGCTACTTTGCTGTATCCCAATGGAAACGCCCGACCAAAACGCCCCAAAGAAGCACATGTACTGCTTTGGGCGTAGAGCGGTTTCCCACGCGTTCGTACTCGCGGAAAAACGCCCAGGTGGGAACCGGGCCTCATAGTTCTCCTTTAAGCGGCGTGTTCTTTCTTTCCGTGTTCTCTTGCTGCACTGATCCATTGTTTCCTGGTAAGGGGAGCACATGGCATTCCCTTTACCACCTTGCAATCCAGTGGCCGGTACCGGAGAAGCCAATTGTTGGGCCTCCAGTCTGTTGCATGAAGGAAGGGGTAACCCTGGGAAGCCGAATCCTACACATGATAGGAACATGCTGCTTTAAAGTGTATCTAAACCCCCCCAAAAATGTCATATATTGCAGCTTACCAGTCAGGGGGTGTGGTGGCTTTTGTCCTTGAATAGTCCCCTGGTGATCCTGTCAGTTTTAAACTTCCTGTCCTAGGGTGACAACACTCACTCGCTGGACTGCATCTATGGAGGGCAGCGTTGTCACCCTAGATATGCCACCAAAAAGGAGCAAATAAAAGAAGTTCATGGTTAGGGTTCACGTACACTTTTCAAGTCCCTACTGAACCTTATACTTGGTCCAATGTGAGCCGAGGCCAGATTCACTTACACGCACATTCTGTTTTCACCGTGCAAAGCTTTCGTGGCAACAGGCAGAATATAATTGTTAGGGGGCGCAGCACAGAGCTATACAAGCATTAAGAATTGCACTTAGAATGTGTGTCCTTGTAAGTCGCAAAATAGGATGAAAGGGGCGGGGCTTCAGAAGCTGTACTTTAAATAAGGTACGCCGCCGGGTCCCCTCCTCTCTCTCCTGATACTGTCTGACGTTCGGCCCATGACCAAGCGCCCGACTTTTCAGAGGGGGTCACACCGAAATGTCTGTCATTTTGGTGTCACCAAAGTGCGGGCCGCCACTGTGTGAAACTACAAATCCCATGATGCATCTCTCTCCGGGGGGGTCATGTCTGTAGCTGTGAGAATCTTGCAATGCCTCATGGGATTTGTAGTCCCACCCACAGCTGGAGGGCCGGAGGTTTGGCCACCCCTGCTTTAAACGTTGCTCAGGAGATCCTCGGCGGTCATAGAGGACAAGAATGGTGATAAACGCTTCTGAAAGCTGCACGTCAGGCCTCGTGCAAAGCCTGCGTGTGTTGGCCCGCAGCAGCCAATCAGATTCTAGCGTTCCTTTATTGCAGATTAGGAAATGGCGGCTAGAATCCAGCGGGTCTGGTGTGGGCCAGGGGCTTCACGAGGCCTGCTGCGCGGTATCGGGAAGATTATTGGTGGACAGGACGGGCGGCCTGGGTGTGCCGAGCCTCGTCGCGGGGCGGCTAGGCGTACATGGTGATGTATCGCGGCTCCATGTTTCCGAAGTAGGTGCGCTCCCACTCGCTCATCAGGTCGAAGTGCAGGGGGCGGTGGCAGAAGTTGCACTCGGCGGCTGATGGGGATTTCAGGGGAATCCCGACTTCCTTCCACGTGCGTACCAGGCTCTCTGTAACATGGAAATACGAGGGTCAAAGGTCGTCAGTCAGGATAAAGCTCGCAGAGCATCGCATTATGAGTGCCGCGCGGTTCTCTCATGTCAGAAGTACCTGCACCCCAAAAGTGGTGCTTTATACAAAGTTTACTATAGTAACACACACTATATTACCAGACGTAGCGGGACGCCTTTACACGCACATGAACTCTAATGGCCCCTCAGTCTTAGTCCGTAGGGTTCAATATTGGGTTGGCTCCGCCCTCTAATGGCATCCCAGTCTTAGTCCGTAGGGTGTAGTATTGGGTTGGCCCCGCCCTTTAATGGCATCCCAGTCTTAGTCCGTAGGGTTCAGTATTGGGTTGGCTCCGCCCCTTTGCCGCTATAACAGCTCCGCCTCTTCTGGGAAGGTTTTTCAGCATGCGCTGACCCCGCTCTGTCATGTGACGTGGCCGACCACTTCCTGGCTGAGTTGCTGTTGTTCCCAGTTGCTTCCACTTTGTTATAATCCCAGTAACAGGCGACCGCGGCGGAATATTTAGTAGCCGGGAAATGTCACGGAACACCCGAATCCAATGATTTGGAGGGGGAGGGGCCCAATACTTTTGGTAATATAGTGTAGCTGTTGAGGTTGAATAGAAACACAGGTCCATTGAGTTCATGTGGTACATCAGTGGAGGAAGTTTCTGAGGCCCATTTAGGTCTGCGAAGGTTCTCATTCGTCCAGGTCACATGGTATATCGGTAAAAAAATAAGTCAAGGCGACTGGACTCGCTGTATTTTTCTTGAAGACGTTTCGCTGGTCATCCGACCAGCTTTCTCAATTCAGAGTCATTCTGAAGTACAAGTCATTCTGAATGGAGAAAGCCGGTCGGATGACCAGCGAAACGTCTTCAAGAAAAATACAGCGAGTCCAGTTGCCCCGACTTAGTTTTTTTTTTACAGATACCGGCCCGTTCGGACCCATCCTTTGACATTGATACTCTTTATTTATAATGTGACAACGACACTCTCACGATAAATATTACATACGCTATAGACTTTTATAGACCGTCCCTTACCTACGAAGTAGCTCATCATGGCAGGAGCGTGGTGGGGGGAGGGAGCCAGCCTCAGCAGTTCCTCTCCGCGGGGAACGGTTGGGTAGTTGATGGCTTGGACGTAGATGTTGTGGTCGGTCAGAAGCATGTCGCAGATTCGGGTGTTCACGGCGGCGTTACCGACCTGCCATGGAGGACAGAGCGAGTTCTTTCAGAGGAGGAGAAAGGCTGTTCCATGTTTCATGGTGCTTGGGGAACATTTAAAGGAGAACTATGAGGGGGGGGGAGGGGGAGGGGCTTGTCACTCACCTCATAGTTCTAGCCGACCTGTAACAATGAGACTGTCACAGGTCGGCTCAGTAGATCGGGAGGTGAGGGAACACATACCGGCGTTCGCTCACCTCTCGATCCTGTCACGGCTCTCTGCCATGACAGGGGAGGGGCTGGATTCCCCCCTCCCCGCTCCGATCCTCCAGCGCTGACTGGCGGAGGGAGGGGGCGGGTACAGCTGGCTCTGCCTCTAGATAGGCGGAGCCAGCTGTCACTCACGCAGCTGGGTGGATGCAGACAGTAATGTCGGGATCCGTCCCGGCTGCGGCGTCTCAGTATACCGCGAGCTGTAGCTCCCTATACACTGAGCCTAGGGTGGCGGGAGGAGGACGCTAGTTTGTGTCCTCCCGTCACCCTAAGGAGAACTATGGGGAGAAACAATGACCTCATAGTTCTCCTTTTAAGAGGAACAAAAAAAAGGTTTTGTTTTCCCAAATGTCACTTTGCTGCAAAGAAATTTCGTACAGACTACGGCTAAAGAATTTTGGAATCGGAAATTCGGATTCGTTTGCATTGGTTATATCTTGTCATTCGGAATTCGGATACATCCGAATTTCCGAATTTTCAGAACCAAACGAATCGCACATGTCCAATGCCCATGCACTTCAGCTCTATCATTGCACAAAATCAAGTTGATAATTTCTGCATACATTGACATCTAACGTACCGTATTTTTCGCTCCATAAGGCGCACTTTTTTCCCCCCAAAAAGGCGAGGGGAAATGTGCCTGCGTCTTATAGCGCGAATCCCTATCGCCCGACGCCCAGAACATGCAGTTTCGAGGCGCCGGGCGAGTAGTTTTCTTGTACATTCAGTCCTGCTCTTGACAAGCAGAGCTAAATGTACAGTGGGAGCCGCTGCTCGTTGTTCACCCCCCCGGCGTGGTTTTCGGGGTCTCCCGCTCCTCCTGGGGACCCGTGACCACGGCATAGGAGCTCACCATAGAGTTCCTAGAGCAGACGAGGAACGTCGGTTCTTCGTCTGCTCTGTGTGATCACTGAGACCGTGGCGCTGTAATCTCAGTGTAATCACAGCGCCCCCTGTCTCAGCTGTCAGTAACTGCAGCTTCTGTCACAGAGCCCCTCCCTGCGTCCTATGGTCCGGTGCGCCTTATAGAGCGCAAAATGCGGTATATAGGTCGTCCTTGACTGAGGTGCACTAAAAGCATTCTAAGCGGTGATGTCAGCTCACCCGTATGGGGATGATGTGGCTGGGGCAGTTGATGACCGGCAGTCCCGCATCCATCAGGAGTTGGCGCATGTGCTTGACGTTGCGCTGGTGGGCGCGTCGGAGAGCTTGCCCCTCTTCGCTCTTTAAGACGCGCACAGATTCCAAAGCTCCGGCCAGCACCATGGGAGGAAGGGAGGTAGTGAAAATGAATCCGGCGGCGTAAGAACGCACCGTGTCTATGAGAGCGGCGGTGCTCGCTACGTAGCCGCCAACACAGCCAAATGCCTTTCCTGGAAGAGCAAAGGAGGGAGAGGAAATAAACAAAACACGTCATGTTTGGCCATATTAGTATTCCAGCATTTCATTATTTTGCCCTCAATTAAAATTTAAGGGGGTTACTCTCCTTGTCAGCAGCAACTAAACTTGACCCTTTCCCCCTTTCTACCCTGTCTAACGAGCAAGCAAAACAAATGCCAAACGCACTCATCAATTCGCCACCAGCTTTACAGCGCGGTGCACACGGAAGGGCTTTATAAGAGTTAGGACCGCACTATACGGAGGTGCCTTCGCGTGGCGGTGCGGCTTTCACATGTTCTGCAGAAGACGTGTATCCAAACCTCTGTTTTTAACCTTAGCGGTGAGACAAGTTTTTTGCATGCCGGCTGGTGAGTGTGCCGGGAAAACTTTTTGCTGTTGTACAGTATAAAGCCCTTCCATGTGCACAGCACTGTAAAGCTGGTGACGAATTGATGAGTGCGTTTGCCATTTGTTTTGCTTGACTGATTTGATGCAGTGACGCATGAGGGGGTCTCAGCTGCCGTTGTGATGTACGGGGGTCCCTGTGCCTTTAAGGAGGTCGGGCTTCCTCCTGACAAACCTGCACCCAATTTTATCTTTTGCCCCCATGTGCTCCAAGATGGAGGCTCTGATAGGTCAGAGTTAGGACCGCACTATACGGAGGGGCCTTGGCGTGGCGGTGCGGCTTTCACATGTTCTGCAGAAGACGTGTATCTAAAACCTCTGTTTTTAACCTTAGCGGTGAGACAAGTTTTTTTTGCGTGCCGGCTGGTGAGTGTGCGGGGAAAACTATTTGCTATTGTACTGCCTTACAAGCACACCCAACACAAAGCATGCGTCCCTTCCTCAAGGCGACATAATGATGTCGCTTTGTCGCCCTGAGGAAGGGACCTTGTGATGCTCTGAAATGTCGTTTTTTTTAATGACTATTGTATCTTTAGGCCCCATTCACACAGGAACCGGCCGGCACGTGCAGCTCCGTGCGGGGCCGTACCAAGTAGCTGCCGGGGAGGACAGGTGCTGCGTGTGATTAGAACGCAGCCCCCGTCCTCCTCTATGGGGCTACGC